CCCAAGGGTCCATCAGTGGGAAACCAGTTAAACAAATTTATGGTGTGTCCATAAATAGGACACTATAAAAGCTGTAAAAATGAATGGAGACACTCTTTAGGCACTGATTTGAAAGATCTCCAAGATATACAATTAAGTGAGGAGAACAAAGTCCAAACCCATTTGCGTAGAATGCTTTTGTCAGCCTTGTCACAAGGGTATTCTGCTGTCGCTTCAATTTGCACTTTTCCTAACCTAAGTGAGATGGTGGGTCCTTTCCTGTTCTTTTATGACCATCTGTATTTCCTTTTCTTTTAAAAAAATTTTTTTAATGTTTATTTATTTTTGAGAGAGAGAGAGAGACAGTGTGAGAGGGGTAGGGGCAGAGAGAGAGGGAGACACAGAATCCGAAGCAGGCTCCAGGCTCTGACCTGTCGGCACAGAGCCCAAAGTGGGGCTCGAACTCACGAGCCGTGAGATCATGACCTCAGCCAAACTAGGATGCTTAACCGACTGAGCCACCCTGGCGCCCCTGTACTTCCTTATCTGTGAAAGGAGGAAAGAAAAAGAAAATGCTCGTGTGCATGCACACACACACACACACACACACACACAGAGGCATGATAAAAATGCCCAAGAAACTACTTGGGTTGGGTTGAAGGGAGCAAGGGTAGAAGTCTAGCTTTTTCGAGTGTTGATTTTTGAACCAAGAAAATGAACGATCCATTCCAACGTAAAAGCAAACTAAATTCGGTCTTTCCCTACCAATTCCTCAGGCTCCTACTAAGCCTATCGTTTTCACGTCTGTCGAGTATTTTTCCCACCTCTAATTGTGACTTTGGAGGAAGGGGCGAGATCAAGGGTGAACGGGCAGTGGCAGGGGGCTGCCCACAAGACAGAAAGATCACCTCATGTGAATGGACTCCTGCCCAGTGAAGTCAGAAGAGGGGCTATTTTCACAACAAGGGGAGCCAGTGCCCACTGTGGAAAGAAACTGGCCACTGAGTGGGGGCATCTAGACAGAGCAACTTCAGCCACGGACCGCAGGTTCCTGCCGCCAGCCGGGGAAAGAGCAGGCTCCCAATTCCAGAATAGTTCCTCTCCAGCCTTCAGTGTGGCGGCGGGACCCAGCCCCGACCTGATTTCACCGTTGTGTTCAGAGCTTTGCCTGGATGACGAATGTGCACCCTGCTCTCACGTTTGGCTCAGTAATCTGCATCTCTCTTGGAGCGCCCGGGACAGCAGCCTGTCCCCGCCGCCCCCAGCTTTAAATATTTTCCCAGCCTGAGGGGACCCCCGGCCACCGCTTTAAGGTTCTACCTTCCTTTATGGAAGAGCCAGGGCTGGCCAAGGCTCTGCAAGATGAGCCGGCTCATCCGACGCACACAGAAAGGAAAAAAGCAAACCAGGGGTCCCCAGAGCTTCGGGTCCCCGCAGGCCTGACGCCTGCATTTTCCTCGCTTTGCTCGCATTTTATGAGCTCAGAGCACGTGCTAGAAGTTAGCAGAGCGGCTGCCCCAGGAAAGAATGTGCTTGTGCCCCCATTTGGGACTTCAAGGGAAAGCATGGAGCCGCGTGGGAGCGTAGGGAGAGGGGGAGATGCCAGCTTCTCCGGTTCCCACCAGCCTGGACGTTGTCCACATGAATGAGCTGGTTGGGTTTGGGGAGGCTCCGGTCCCTGAGAGTGAGCAGCAGGCTGGAGAGAACGCATTTGTTCTGTTGCTGACGGGGGGGAACAGATTTATCAGTAGGATCCTGGCTCAAAGGGGGCAGGAGACGTGGACACTGGCCACCCAGGAGGGGTCCTGGAGACAGAGGGCTGGAGGCTGGGCATCGAGCAGAAGCCACGGCCCTCCGGCCCCTCCGCAACCCCGCTGCCCGAGGCATCCCCTCCGTGGGTCCCCACCATCAAGGGCTGCTCTGTTTCCCTAATTAAAAACAGCAGAGGAAGGGAGACCCTGGGCCTGGTTCGCAGACTCAGTGACAGAGAGAATATGCCACGTTCCCTGGGGCTGGTGACTCACCCACTCTTCCGAGCGGACATGTGTTTTCCCTGCTGTCCACAAAAGCACTGAAGAACCAGGGACCGTCGGTCAAGGCCAACATGCCATTGGTATCAGGCATAGGCAGGCCACACACCAGGAGGCCCTGGGCAGGACATCCGAGGGCAGGACTTCCCTGCACCCAGCCCATCGATGTTCCTCATGGGGACACTCAAGACTGCAGCCTCCAAAGGACTTCATGGAGTGTGGTCCACCGACCGGACTAGTCCACCGACTGGTCTTCCTACCCTCATCCCCCCATCTGGCCGGGACTGGGCAACTCCTGGACCAGGCAGCTCATCTCCTCCCCAAGGGCCGTGGTTGTGCCTCAGCATTGATGACACATCTTTCTTCATGACAGGTGTCTCACAAAGACCCTCCCGCCCTTCACAGACCTTAGATCCTGAGTGGGCACAAGAGGGCCCGTGGACGATTTCCAGACTACGACGTGCCTGAGGGCCTCCCCTGCAGAGTGAGAGCCCTCACGTGTCACCAGCCTCACCATTCACGCCCACACCTGCTCCAACGTTCCCGTGTCCCTCTGGAAGTGTGAGCCCCACGGTGCCATCCCCTCCCCGAGGTTCTCTGAACAGGGCAGAGGGTGTCAGCGCGCAGCCCCTCAGTTACTCGTTGGCTGAATATGTGCCAAGCACTGTGTGCTCCAAGCTCTTCGAGTAGAGTTTCTAGCATAGGGTGGCTCTGCTGAGTAGGGGCAAAATGTGGCAGCCCCGGACTTCTCTGGTTTGAAATTCAGAGTTCTCGGTCTCTCATACGTGCCTGTGGGACCAGGCTCTGTGTGCATCGGAGGTGACCGCCATGCGGAATCACCATGGGAGGTGAAGCTTCAGGAGGAGGCGGCTGGGAGCGTGGCAAGCCGGGGCTCTGGAAGCCGGCCCACTGACGTGTGCCCTCCTGCCAGCCTGCTGCCTGACTCAGCATCGCCCTTCATGTCTATTCACAGTCCAAGGGCCGTCGTGAGGGAGTATTCCAGCTCCCACACTGCGCGAGTGTGAAGTAAAGCTCCGAGCCTGGACTCCACCATGAAGCAAGTCGCAGGCACGTAAGGGACCAAGTGCCCCCGTTAGAGTCTGCACGTCAACAGAGGCAGCACGGGGAGAAACAGGCAGATAGGCAGCAGTGTTGGATGAAAACTCCAGGAAGTGTGACCTGTACCTGAGTCCGGACTGACTCCCAAGTCCCTGTGACCTACGGTGGATGTATTAGGCATCTGCTGCTGTGTAACAAATTAGCCTACGTTTAGCCGCTTAAAACAGCAATGGCATTTCTTATGTTGCAGTTTCTGTGGGTCAGGAATCCAAGAGTGAATTAGCTGGATGGTTCCGGTTTACTGTCTCTCCTGAGATTGTCGTTAAAATGTCAGCAGAGGGGCGCCTGGGTGGCACAGTCGGTTAAGCGTCCGACTTCAGCCAGGTCACGATCTCGCGGTCCATGAGTTCGAGCCCCGCGTCAGGCTCTGGGCTGATGGCTCAGAGCCTGGAGCCTGCTTCCGATTCTGTGTCTCCCTCTCTCTCTGCCCCTCCCCGTTCGTGCTCTGTCTCTCTCTGTCCCAAAAATAAATAAAAAACGTTGAAAAAAAATTAAAAAAAAAAAATGTCAGCAGAGGCTATAGTCCTCTGACTGCTTCACTGGGGTGGGAGGGTCTCCTTCTAAGATGGTTCTGCTGTCACACGCTGGTGGGTCGTTGCCAACAGTAGAACTTGTTCCTCACACTCGTCCGTAGATCTGTCCACCAATGGCCTCAGCAGTTGACAGCTGGCTTCCCAGAGGGACTTATCCAAGAGAACAAGGCGGAAGAAGCCTTAATGTCTTCCAAGACCCAGCTTCAGAGGTCACGCTCAGTCATTCCCATAATATTCTTTCGGTCACACAGGTCAGCCCCATTCATCGTGGGAGGAAACTACACAGAGGCATGACTACCAGGAGGTGGGACTCTCTGGGGGCCGTTCAGGGGCTGCCTGCCACATCGGGTGAGTCTGACTGACAGCCGACATTTGTTTCACCAGATGCCTCTCTACACCTCTACTCCCATGTCCCTTGGGGTTTGTTTCTGTAATGGCATTCCCGGTATCAAATATGTGTCAAAGGACACCCAAGCCTGTTCAGCAGAGGATGGAGGAACTTCAACTCATCTAGAAATAATGGGACGCATGCTCATCCAGAAATAATGGGACGCACGCTCATCCAGGAATAATGGGACGCACGCTCATCCAGGAATAATGGGACGCACGCTCATCCAGGAATAATGGGACGCATGCTCGTCCAGGAAAAATGGGACGCATGCTCATCCAGGAATAATGGGGCACATGTTCAATTCTGCCATAGAGAAACCACCACCGGAAAGAGACGGCAGAGGCCACATCCAACCAGCCCTCACCCCCATTCTCCACCGAGGCCCTGGTGAAGTGCTTGAGCTTAATGTAGAGACGGGGGCCAATTGTCAGGGGAGAGGGACAATTTAGGGGGCAATGCTGGGTGCTTCCATACATGTTGTCTTTCCACATATCCCCTGGACTTTGTTCTAAAGTCTTGAGGCACAGGGGACATTGAAAGAAACGGAGTAAGTGAAATGTGGGCTTGTAATCCTGAGGAAAGAGTAAGAATTACCTACGTTTGGTTGCCGTTACTCTTGGGGGAGGGGGCTGCCCCCTCTTCCCATCAGGTGGCATGGGACCGTGGAGGAAGACAGCAAGAGAGACATCAGCGTGGCAGTGGTGAATCTCAAGGTCCCTTCACCAGCAGGACAGGAGCAAAGGACTCCAGAGCGGCAGCTGTGTGCAAAACTATCTCCCACCAAGGGGACCCTTTGAACCCTCCTGGGACCTTTACCTTCCAGGGAAAGGGAGGGCTTGGGTTCCAGAAGTTATGCAGGTAGGACTTTAAGCCAGAGCCTGATGTTAGTAGGACACATCATCACTCGCTGAACATAAACCCCTGGAGAGCTGGGGAAACACAGGTTACCATGGCCACCGTCCAAGCTGGTATCAGATCCCGAAGCAGCAGCAGAAAGCTGATTTGGAGCCACCTCGGTTTCTCTATCTGCAAATGGGGGGGAAAAAGGTAAAAAACAGCTGTTCCCACGCTGGTGAAGCCAATGCCCCCATGACCAGCAGGGTATCCCAGCTCAAATGTGGCCACACCAAATTTGTTAAATATCTCAAGGAGGACACAACACTGCCCATGCCACTGAAATTAAAACTTTTACTTTACTCTGGGGCATTTGGGTGGCTCAGTCGGTTAAGCATGCAACTTCAACTCGGGTCACGATCTCATGGTTCGTGGGTTCAAACCCCACGTCGGGCTAGGTGCTGACAGCTCAGCCCCTGGAGCCTGCTTCGGATTCTGTGTCTCCCTCTCTCTCTGTCCCTCCCCCACTTGCTCTCTGTCTCTGTCTCTGTCTCTCTCTCTCAAAAATAAATAAGCCTTAAAAGCATTTTTTTACTTTACTCCGCTTAAATGTTAAAATAGCATGTGGTGATGGAAAGAGCTTTGAGCTGAGGGTACCAGTGTCTGGGTCTGGATCCAGCTCTGCCATGAACTCGGTCAAGTTTCTGAACCTCGAATTTCTTGACTGCACAAACAGGATGGTAATGGCAAGCTCACGTGGTAACATTTGCATAAGTAGCCTGCAGTCTATATGCTTTCATGTCACCCATTAGTTCTTCTCACCACCCCGGGCTCGCGGGAGGGCGGGAGTGACACGGCCCACACACACAGTGCAGGGCCACCGCTGTCCTCAGAATGACTTAGTGATGGCTCATGGGCCGAGGGGGCAGAGAGGGAGCCCAGGCACCATCACTACAAAGGCCCCTCGCTCCGTCCCCGCCCCCCCGTTACAGGTGGGCAATTCAGAGCCAGTCTGCTCAAAATTACATAGACCTGGTCTGGGCTCCGGAAGGCAGCCCAGGGAGCCGAAGCACAGGGCTCCGTGACTACCAGCTGTGTTGTCGATACTTTCCTTTGAGGAAGGCAAGATCTTCTCATTTCTGGCACTTTGCAGAAATTCGTAAGACTGCTGAGTCGCCCGACACCTTGAGGCCTCCCTTCCTGCCGGTGCCCTGTTTTCCCGCACAGCTCCCCGGGGCTGCCCCTGCACCTGCCCAGGGGATGATCCCGCCCTCCTCCCTGCTCTTGGCCTTCCTCATGATTTCCTCTTCCCTTATCAGCTTCAGACCCTGTGAAAGCTGCCCTACACCTGGACTGCGTCCTCTCTGCTTCCCTCTCTCTCTCTCCTCACCCCCGTCTCTGCAGACGGCTCCCGGAACCACATCCCCAGCCCTGACATCGCTCCGGGCGGCCACGCGGTTCTGGTATCGGAACGCCAAACGCCCTCTGCCCTGCAGACCGGCCCCCCGGGCCCCCCCCCCCGCGCTGGTGAGGACACTCTCCTATTAGTCACCTCCCCCGGCACCTCAAAGTCCTTCTCCTCCACCCCGCATCCAGTTACGGCAAGCTCCTGGGGAGGCTTCCTTCCTAATGGCTCTCATATATATTTCTTTCTTTCCATCCCCACTGTCAGCACAGATCTTCCAGAAACACCCCTTCCCTATCGCCTTCCCTCCCGGGAAGCCCTCCACTCGCCGGTGTATCATTCAGGATGGGGTTTAATTCCAAAGCCTCGCCAGCCAGCCCCAATCTGCGTTTCCACACCTACCTGCTCCTGCCTGAAGCCCTCGCCATAGCCCGACCACCCGTTGTGTTCCATTGTGGCTTCGGACGCGCGTTCTGTAAATGGCTGCTGCTTCTGTCCCTTTCTCGAAAAAGCTGATTACGGGAGCCCATACTTGCATGGGAATTTCCCGTTTCAGGCACTGCGCTAGCCGTGTTCCACCAGCCAATCCTGGAATCCTTACACCGACACGAGGAAGCACAGAGAGGTTAAGTAAGTTGCCCGAGGCCACACAGCCAGCGGGTGGTAGGGTCAACCTTCAACCCTCTGCCATCCCTGGCTCCAGGGTCCCCGAACCAAGAACCCCACACTGCCAAACAAACCCGCTGGTGCAGGGGGGTTCCCTTACAATTCAGGATCTTAGCATTAACCAAGCCTGGCGTGGCCTTACGGCGATTTCAAAGGGTTCATTCCTGGAGGAGACAAAGTTTTCCCATTGACCTTCAGGCCTGGGAGGGGATGATGAAAACGTAAGTCATCCTGCCATTAAAATTAAGTTCAATCACCCCTAATGGAATGTCACCTCCAAGATAGCCATTAAAGCCACCCGCCTGAGGCACTCACGGGGGTCTACGTATATCACCATTACCTTGTCCGAGGACAGGGGAGACCGGGGGAGACACTCGGTGGCACTGAGAGCGCCCTGCAGAGGAGTCCACTGCTCGGCCCCGTGACGGGAAAGCCTGGTTTCCAGGTGGTGGAGACTGGAAGGTCTCCCGGGAAACGCAGGCTTGACCCCACACGCGGGGCTCGCGCTGCCTTTAAGCGGAAGTCAAGCTCCAGGAAGGGGTGGCCTTGCCTGGTCCCTGGGCACACACAGCTACACCGCCACAGCATCCTGGAGGTTCTAGCTCCCTCCGAGGTCCCCGGGCCCTCGAGGAGCACTCCCATGTCTCGAACATTTGTGGCACCAGGAGCCTTCGTTCACAGGCACGAGGAGAGGAAGTTGTCGTTTTTACTCCATTTTGCAGATGAGACCCACAAGATTCAGGGAGGTGGGGTAACTCGGCAGAAATAACTGGAGTGCAGCGAGAGGGCCGGGGTAGGGCCTCTCTCCCGCCTGGACCCCCTTCCTCACCCACCAGAGCTGGAAAGACCCACCACTCCCGAGCCAGCCTCCTCTGCCGCAGGCCACAAGTCCCCTCCGGTTGTCCAGCCCCGCCCTCGTCTGCTCCCCCTTGGCTTGGCCTTTGAAAGGCCTTCTCCCTGGCGGGTCCTCTCTGACCCCCTGCAAGGTGGCCCGGCAGATCCTCCTACGTGAACAGTGGCCCTCACTTCCCCGCCCGGACCCACTCCCGCCTTAGTGACAGGCCACCACCCCGGTCCTGTCTGCCCGCCCTGTGGACGAGCCAGACCCGGCGTCTTGCTCTGTCCTCCCTGGTCAGCACGGCCTCCTCCCCTCCCCGGCAGGCAACGACACTCTGGCCACCGATTCCCGGGGAACTCAGCTTGTGACCCGAGCCTTGTTTTGCACCCTCTGGGGTTGGTTTTGACCGGCCTCGGCAGGCGGACGTTTGCCCCTGTTCTGATTCCCCTGAAATCACCTGCAGGGACATCGCGCATCGCTGAATTCACAGAGGCTTCCAGCTTTTAGTTCTTTTCAGGAGCCTTTGTCTCCAAAGCCACGTGCTTTTCCGTGCCTCATCCCTCGGATGGATCCAGGGTGGAGGAAACAGCCCGCAACCTCGGGGCCTCCCGGACCCCCGCGTACCAGCCAGCTCTCCAGGGCTCTGCCGGGAGGAAGCCCAGTCCCGAATGGCCCACCGCTTCCCTAACTGTTCAGCCCTCAAAGATGCACCAACACCCTGTCCTCTTCCCGAGCAAGACGAGCCCAGGCGAAAGGTAACCTTGATTTCAAGCAAAGGTCCCCACACGAGTCGTTAACATTCATGAGGTGCTTATCGGCACCAAGCACCATCTGGAGGATTTTACCTGGATTGACCCCTCGAATCCTTCCTACGAGGAAGGCACCATTATCTCCCCATTTACAACCAGGGAGGTCGAGGAAAAGGGGCCAAGTAACTTGTCCCGAGTGAGTCATTACTGGAGTCTGGGTTCAAACCCAGAGAGTCAGACCCGAGAGCTGCGTCTTGGGCGCCTCCTCTCATGTGTGAAATGTAATCATGGCGCTGAGGGAAGAGGAGACTTACTCTGTGAAACTGGCGAGTTATTGAACCTGTCAGAATATTGGTCCCCTCCCCTGTAGAAACTGGGCGAACAATGACCGCATCTGGTAGGGTGCGTGATCCAAAATTAAACAGCACTGCGTGTGGAAGTGTCTAGAACACTGTCTAATACGTGGTGGGTGCTGGGTCATTGTTGTTTCCCCTGAGGAGGTCTTCAAAGCGCCCGTTGCCATGGTGATCGCTTCAGGGCCGAGTACTTAGGGGTCAAGGGGATTTTCAAAAGCTCCTTGAACTATTCTAGAGGAACACTTCTAAGTTTCTAGAGGTTTTTTTTTAAAAATCATCTGACGTGAAGAGGAGAAAAGTCTTGGTCTTCCTGAAGATCGTGGCTGGATTAGCTGCATTCACTAACACTTCATGTATACATAATAAAACACAATGGTTTTCACGGAATACATAAACCATCAAATAATCCTATTTGGTCAGTAGTTTGGTATTTCCAGCCTGTCAGAAAGCCAGCATAACACAGTCTGCGTCTGCTTCAAGAAGAGAAACTTTTCCACTCTCTGAGATAAGGCTTGTTGCCCTTGGTTCCTGGTCCCCAGGAGCACCGTGGGCATGTTGTGAAGAGGCCGTAGGCAATTCTGCTCTGCAATTCTGTTCCGGAACGCAACCACTGTGTGCCCCCTCACTGGGGCCCGGCCCTTCTATGACTGGCACGAGTGAAAATTTCCGAGGGACTTCACGGAGGGATGGGTGTTAACGTGGGCACCGAATAAAGTCAGGATGCTGCCCTGCTTCTCAGAGAATCTGTGGGCCTAATTCTAATTCCTCTTCCTCCCCTTGGACAAATCATTTAACATCCTCAAGGCCTATTTTTTTAATCTTTAAAAATATTTATTGGGGCGCCTGGGTGGCTCAGTCGGTTAAACATTTGACTTTGGCTCAGGTCATGATTGCATGGCTTGTGAGTTCAAGCCTCATGCTGACAGCTCAGAGCCTGGAACCTGCTTCAGATTCTGTGTGTGTGTGTGTGTGTGTGTGTGTGTGTGTGTGTGCCCCTCATTTGCTCGCATTCTGTCTCTCTCTTTCTGTCAAAAATAAATAAACATAAAATAAAAAATAAAATTTTTTTAATGTTTATTTATTTTGAGAGAGAGAGAGAGAGAGTGCACAAATGGGAGGGGCAGAGAGAGAAGGAGAGACAGAGAATCCCAAGCAGACTCTGTGCTGTCAGCACAGAA